GCACAGAATTCTCTAAAAAGACATTGCATAAACTAGAATGTAGAGGTCAGACACCCAAGGGCCAGTGCTTGAATTTAGTAGTAGTGTGGTGAAGAAGCAAGAGCCACATCGAGGAGGAACTGCATCTGTTAGAGTTTACAGAAGCAGCAAGGAATGTCATTTAATTGTGCTGGCTATTAGTGGCATTTAAAAATATATAGTTCGTGTGTGTGTGTATGTGTTACCCATGTGCTGGCTATACATTTATGCACATTTTGTTTTTTTAAATACACTGTTAACAGGAACCCCCATATTATCTGCTCAGTAGTAATAACTGAATATATAGAATGCCACTATAAGAGTGTGAGGCACCGTGTGCTGGAGAGTTATATGCAGCTTTAAAATCTGTTTGGCTGAGTTATACCTGGATACCTGAACTGAGTTAAGTTGACATTCATCAAGGATGTGCTACCAGCACGTCGAAATAAAAGCAAAACAGAAAAATACAAGTCACTGTTAGGTTTAAGAATAGCATCAAAGTACCTGAATTGAGTGAGAATAGTGTGTAAACTGTCCCTGAGGGTTTTTAAACAGTGTGTACAAGTTGGATTCCTAAGAACATTAGTTTTATTTAACAGTGTGGACTGATAAAATACCAATGTCTGACAGTTTAAAGTGGAGGTTATAAAGAATTATATGCAAACACTCCAAATGTATAGTTTATACATTTCTTCTCAAAGCAGCAATAAGCTGCTGTAAAGTATACATCCCATCAGAACAAGCAACATGTGGGAGTCCGATAAAGGTTTCTATCTTAGTCTGGTTTTCTGACAGCACAGCATATCAATATCCAATGACTATTATCTTTCCTATATCAGAATGTAACTAATTTCGACTAGCAATATAGGATTAAACTTTTAATCAAACACTTTGCTATTACATACTAAAATTCCTTAAACTTACTAAATGCTGGTATACTAACCTAGTTAATTATCCCCCCTCATTTTAGAAATATACCCTTCCACAACTTAAAAACATTAAGATCCATTTTCAGTCCTCTGATGTAAAAAGCATGTCAGTGAATTAATATTAAAAATTTACACAGTAAAAAGGCTTGAATTTCAGCCAAAGATTCTAAATACTGCTCATTCCCTGAAGACTTAAAGGGAGAGAGAATCCCTACCCATTTTCCTAGTGATTTATTTCTCTAAAATGGTCTGACACAATTTTTCATGTTGGGGAATTTTCCCCTCACCTCCTCTCAAATTCCAAATTCTTAAGCCTGAAATGCTTAATGAAATGGGAAACGTGAGGCAATCATTTGGAATTGCTTGAAAGGTACAGAATGTTGTCTTTTTTTTTTTTAATAAGACAAGAATTATTTATATAAATGTGATCTGACCCCGTATTATGTAGTTATGCTTTATATTTTTAAATAATCACGCTAAAACTTACAGTACCTAAGACTCTGAAGATAAATTAAGACTTTAGTGTTGTAACAGAAAAAGTGCTGAATTATCCCTTTTCTAGTACTTTAAACATTTCGGACAAGTGCTTTCCTAGTGACAGTAAAGTTTACTATATACCCTTCCACCAAGCAGGAAAAAAAAGTTACTGGATGAAAGAAAAGACTTTTAGGAGTGTAGCACCGGGTATTTACCAAATAATAGATGTAATGTTTCACTTATTCTGAGGGGTAAAAATATTCTAGATTGAAATTCTATTTGGCTATTGAATGTTAAAAATCCCTGCTCTACTGTGTCAATGTCCTGTGGCCAACCCCCCCCACCCCCCGCCCCCAGTCCCCTTACACACTATCCACTGAGAATCTAATCTCTAAAGAGATTATTTTAAAATTTATGTTTTCAGGACATACCTGAGAAAGGGTGCAATTATGCAGAACAAGGAACCCAAGACTGCACTAATACTGGTTATAGGTTCATAAATTCTTTCCCAAGACAAATCTAAAAAGTCTAAGAGGTATGGATCTTCAAATACGTCTTACTGCTTTAGATTTTTTTGGTATGTGTGTAGGGTCATTTCCAGTGTTGAAAAGATCACCTTGAGTCTGTTCAAAGACAGTTCAAGATGGGGTAAAAGAGTTCATTTCCATATTCAAACTATAAAGATTAAATATTATGATTATAATATTTGCTACATCCAATAAATCGATGATTAACTAAAAGTGCTTGTTTTTCAGCATTTATCGATAACAGCTCTAAATGAACTGGAAGCCTTAAATTACCCCCCAAATAGTTGCAGAATTAACTCATGTTTTATTGTCAAATCAACATTAATTAGCCTTGATTCTCATTTTCAAACCATCTACAAGATTTTTCTATCAAATGAAGGTGGCCCAACTTTATCACATTATCTATCCTGTGACTCACCGTTAGTATCATAGTACAGAATCTTTAGCCTCTTCCCAAGTCTACATACTTTCCCATCCTACTCCTTACCCCCGCCCCCCATCTCCTTCATAACATTTAGGGCACACAGCTACAGGGCTAATGTCTGTTTTTTCAAAAGGCAACTGTGAGTTTATTTGGGAACAAGAGAGAGAGGACATGCAGAGAATTTCCTCTATTTTCCCTTCAGTCACCATGTTCACAAATCCTGTAAGTCTCAAGGACAGAATGAATAAAAAAAAAAAACTAAGACGACTTTGGAGGTCTGCATTCCTTGTACCAGAATTATACTTCTTTCCTTTTCAATAGAGCTTGAAAGCAATCAATTTTTTAAGCCCCTATAATATAGCTTAATAGTCTTCAAAATGGGCTGTTTGGCTAAAGCCATTAAGTTTCTAATAACACTGGCCTGACCATAGTATTAATGAAGACCTAATTACAATGGAAAGGTTACAAGGAAAACAATTTTTGATATCTTCAATGAAGGTCAAAATTTAACCTATAACTTTCAATGTCTTCCATAAAAGATTAAGTGGAGCAATTCAGTCTATTGCCATATTCTATCACCAATGACAGCAACCTGAATATATAGAAAAGGATGGCTCATACAAAAACAACCTCTAGCATTTAAAGAAAGAATAATTACAAAAGCAAAAATATGTGGTTCAAAATTAAATCTACAGAGACAATAGCTATTAAAGAAAACGACACCAAACAGTCACTTATCTGCTATAACCACTCAAAACAATTTCAGGTTCTGACATTGGGTTGACTCATTAATTTGTTTTAAAAAAATAACTAACTGAATCCAAGCTTCACTATTATGGGTAAATGAAATATAAGAGAATCACAAAGGCTTAGAACCAGGCCTTGCACCATGTGCTTACTTGGGCAGGGGGAGAACACATAGCTCACTAGCAGCTCAAAGGTTACTAAGTACTGCCTAATGACAGAAGGTAGTTATGATATGGGCTTTTGCAGGTAGTCATTTTTAGTCTAATTTAGAGTTCTCTCCAGAAAATTGGGACAAAACTTCTCATTGTGCCTTACTGTTTTACTATCTGATCCCATATAGCTCATATTATAGCTCAGGTAAGATGTTGGGGAATGAAAATGCCAATTGGTTGAGGTAATGGTTTATATAAGATAACCAGAGTTCTAAAAGCACTTCAATATTGTAAAGTAAAAGTGTACCAAATAAAGCTAATATACACTTCACACTTGTTGAGCTTGCTCACCAGAACTGAACAGTAATTAACTTCACATAAGGACCCCTATTATCACACAAAGCCTTACTCATATTCATGATCTGCTGCAGCAAAGGTTTATCAAGCAACACCTAAACTTCAGAGTAACAACAAACTTAATATTAAAAAGTATTATACACAAATATAAATTATGTTTCTTGAAAGAGAGACCTTTGTCCTTCATGGTATTTGGGGAGCAGAAAAAAGTGTATAGCTCATCACAAACATAGTTCAGAGTCACTAGAAAGCCTACTGAACAAAGTAATATAGTATATTACATTACTATCAAGCTTCATGACTCAACTGTCTGAAAAATGAGAAAGCTAATGATAAAAATACCAACTAGATATTCTTCCACAGGATTATTCAGTATTTTTGACTTTACAGTGCCATGGCATATCTGTTCTATAATATCAATGTTCTCTCATTTAAAAAACAAAACAAAAAAACCCTCAAGAATTGATTTTCAACACATTATCTCCTAACATCAGTTTGAGTAATGTCATCATCTGCCTACTGGAGAATGAGAGGAGAAAAGGCTTTTGTGACAAAGACAGCTGTGAACTATACCTTCCCATACCATAAAAATGGTCAACTGTTGTTTGGGCCATGCAAAACTCTGATAAGCAGAAATTAAGCATGCGAATAGACCAATCTCTATTACACATTTATCAGGACGTCCCCAAACTAGAATATCTACACTGAAAGTGCCAATACAGAACAGTGGCAAATCAAGAGAGAAATCAAATATTAAAAGATCACTGCGGCACCAAGACTGACAGCCAGCCATGTGATGAGCCACCTCCGAGAAATACATGGTATAATGGAACTCTGAACACAAAATTTAACATTAAAAGTGCACCTGAATATTACCAACTAACTTTACAAAACCTACAATAAGGTAAAATATATATCTTTTGAAATATTCAGCAGCTTTCTGTATTTTTTTTTTAAAGATTTTTTTCTGAGAGGCTCATGAAATTTAAAAGGGACCACTATCTAATTTCAACCATGCTTCACAAAACAATAATGGCTATTTTATATTGCAGTTACCAATGTAATGCAATTAGTGCTTTAAAATAATCTACACTCAAAAAAAAAAAAAAAAAAAAAAAAAAGACCGACCGACCTTTGGAGGAAATATGCTTATTCAAAAGCTTCTTGGAAAAGAAAATTTACCTGAATATCAAGTCATGACTGATCTCAAGTGTAATGTTTAAAAGCTTCACAGACATGAATATTACAATCTTCAGGTCTCAGGACTTTTAATCTGAGAAAGTTTAGAGTTTGGTTTGTTTTTAAATTCACTTTCTAACCAAAACAAATAATAGAAGTACTCAAATTTTCACTATTTACAAGTCTCAGCCTACAATCTGAAATGACACAATACAAGTTCTCTTATTTAAACTGCAGCATTAAAGGGTAGGCACACCATTCTTCTGCTGCTCGATTGTCATCCACTGAAACACACATAGAAAATATTTATGTTAGTAAAATGATCACTCCATGTACACTACAATGACAAAATTTACATAACTCATACATCACTTTATAGACTACCACACAGGATTAAACCTCTCTGAACAGTAAAACTACAAAAGTTGAACTTTTAGGGCCAGATTTTTAAATGGGCCTTTAATGATGCCTTTCTGAGAGGGGATAAAAGCAAGCACAAATTAATTGCTCAAAGGACCTTTTTGCAGCAATCTGGGCTACCAAATACCCCAAACGTCAAGCGAAAAGGTACCATGGCTGCAATTAATTGTGTGTGACAAATTACTGAGTGTGGAACAAAGGAGGCATTCCTTCATAAGCTTAGCCCTTTGCTTTCAGCAAACTTTCTATAACTTCCTTCAACTGCAGATGAAAACCATATATTTCATAAAATATTTTTATTGCAACTTCTAGCTAGGCTAGAAAATATTGCAGAGTCATATACTGCTCTGAACCCAAGCTCCTTTTTCTGTTGAGACTAGAAAGCTAAGAGAAACAGGCTCAGTCATCCACGGATTAAACTGCTACACAAAATAACCAAATCAAAAGAGGAATCCAAGCCCAGGCTATGTCAAGAATGAGCAGTGCATGTATTTCAATAACAGCAATGGTGTGCCTAACCTTTGAACACATAGGTTGCTGAGGGAAAACTATCCTTTACCTAATTAACTGCTCCAAAGTTGCCAGGCAAGAATTTATGCCTTGGGAATATTGGACCTACTTCTCTTCAATCTCTTAGTATCCATCTGAAATCATCAGCCTCAATTTAATGCTCCAAGTTTTATTTTATTTTACACAAAAACTCTAATGACTTTTTGTTTGTTTTTGGTTAAGCATTTAGAAGGGCCTGACCACCTTTCTCAGCAGATTAGATAGGGTGTATGTGGTGTGGATTTTGTTTTTGCACCAACAGTAATTTTAATTTGGTCACAAGGCAAAATTAAATTTCATGGGCTTTATTTATCACTTATTCTTGCAAAAAACTGTAGGAAATAAATATTCTGAATTTAATTACTGTAATTTGAAAAGCCCATCTCAAAAAAAGCTTAGATGCTCTTCATGGAGTGCTTATATAAACATGATCTGAAAAGTCCTGAATTGTGTGCTAAATAACCATAAAAATCAGCTAAATATCAGAAAAAGTTAAGTAGGGGATAGAATGCAGGATGCGAGAGAAAAGAAAAGAAAAAGAAAGAAAGAAAAAAAAAAGAAAGAAAGTTGAAAGCAACAAATTAAATAAAAACTAAAAAACAACCCATCCCCCCTTGTTCTAGTATCTGGATTAAAAGAGAAATTCTGAGCTTGATTGCTGATTGAACTATCATTAGATGTGAAATGCAACCTAAATCATATTAGGTTACCTTGGGGTTGTGTTTTTTTTCTCTCACCACAAACATGGATCCTTCATTCATGTGGATATTTGGGCAGACTACTGAGGCTGTAAAATCTAGACACCACTTTGCAATATTATAATTACTTAAACACACTTCTTTCCTTACTTCTCCCTTTCCCCAATAAACAGATCTTGAATATTTTAAACTAGTTGCTGCAACGACATCCAGTCGTTAGTTAGCACATGATCAAATCTGTAAAAGGTTTTAAGAATACAAAGAAACTTAGTTTGTTAAAATGAGGCATCCTCTATTGTTTTATGTAATGTACCCTGACTGCTCCTGAGTAAGAACGGAGCTCGTCCTCCATGAGATAAGGCTATATCCTCACTTGTTGGTGAGACCAAATTCTACCCTTAGAAAATACCAAATAAAATTACAGCAAAGGTAGTGTTACAAAGTAATTAACCAAAGCATTTCTGAAGGTAGTGTGTGCACATTTTCCACCTCCTTTCCCTCTGGGTGAGCACTAAACAGATTGCTGATTTGTTAAGTAAATTTAATAGTGAGAAGAAAATCATAAAATGTAAATTGACCTAAATAATTACGTATCACTGAATAACCAAATTTCTTTAATTCAAAGGTTCATTGTTCCTAGGATTTTTTTTAGTTTAATCCTTCAATTAGTTGAAATGTAGAAGAGAAACACGAATGATTTTATAAGATGGCTTTCCAATTTGTAATGATAAAGCTCCCAGTATGACAGAGGTGGTTTCTAAAAGGGGGCTTTTTTCTTTTCTTTTCTTTTCTTTTTTAAATAAAGGCAAATATAACTTAAGAAAAAAAAAGAAAGAAAAGCATGCAGGCTCTACAGGCAAGGAGTCCACTTCCATGTATCTGTTCTCTGTGAGGTAACTCAATTCTCTTTTGTAGAGAAACATGCAAAAAGGCCAAACAATATCCCGAGCCATACTGCACATGAAAATTTTAAAATATGCAACATTCAGAATGCACCTTTCACCTCTGTACACACAAGTCAATGCGAAATCTGCAAAGAAACAAGTGTCACAGTAAATGGAGTCAGGTGTAAGCAATGATAGCTGAACAATGCAGTAGTGCTCACCCAGTTTGTACAGTAATTGGCACTCTACAGTATTCCTACTCATTTTTTGATTCATTTGCACTTTGTGCTGCCTCTCCCTGGGGATCTAATTCAATCTTTACAGAAACATCTGGCCCCTCCGACCTCACTAATTTCATCTTTTTCTTTGGAGGGTTTTTCAAAGTGCCCAGCCTCTCCTTTACTTTGTACTCCAGTGTACTGTGGGGAATCCCATAAATACTCTGAGCTTTGGAAACACTCATTTTTCCACTCATAACCACTGAGATTGCTTCCTCCAGTATCTCACTGTTGTACTGTCTGTAACGCCCTCTTTTCTTCCGAGGCTGCTTGGAACCAGGGTCTCCTTCTTGATCCGATGTGGGATATGGCTGTCCAGAGGTAGACTGCTCAGCATCTGAGCCCCAAGAATCGGGTCCAGCATCTAACATGCTTTTTCTATTTTGTTTTGGAAGAATAGCCCTTAACTTTTTACTAAGCGCGCTCTCCGTTTGTGAACCCATTACCAAAGAGCTATAGCTGTACTGATCACCAGTGCGAGACTCCCAAGAAAGATCCATTCCTCGAACTTGTGGTATCTTTAAATCTACAGGAGATGCATGGCTCGCATCCTTTTTTCCATCTTGTTTTGCTTGAAGTGCCATTTTTGGAAAGGCAGAGTTTTCTGCAAGAAAAGGAAGGTCACTGATGTTGCTGAGTGCACCATTTCCCCTGAACTTCATACGGCTGAGGTTGAACTCATAATGTGGTTTTGCCCAAGAGGCTTCCCTGGATAATATTAAGTGTTGTCCATGATTCTGTAATCCAGATGGCCCAAGGCTGGCAGCTGTGGACAATGGGTTTCTGCTCAGTAGTTCTTCACTAATCTGCAGGGATCGAGCCAATGGAACTTTGAGTGATGTGGAGTGTCCAAAACCTTCCCTGGTTCCATCCTGTAAGCTTCTTGGAGGTACCCCATCACCACTCCGAAGTCCGTCTGGGCGGTACTGGCTGGGTCTCCCAGGTCGCCTAATTGGATGGAAGGAAACTGATGTGAGCAGGACTTGCACAGGTAGGGAGGGATGGGTGAGGGGACCACTCCTTTATTAGAAGGCCTTGCTTGGGTAACATCACTTTGTGTTATTTATTTATTTTTCTCTAAAATTAAAAAAAAAAAGTGGTCTCGGCAGTTAGTTTTAGAACTTGTTCACAAAAAAAGAAAAAGGAAAAAAGAAAAAAAAAAACCAGGAGCTTTTTGGGCAAAGAAAAATTAAACCTGTCAGCTGGTCTCTGGTTGGGTTCACAAATTTTCGGAGAAAAAGTTTCGCGCAACTGTCTGAAAATAGCACCTTAATTATTAATTACAAAGTAATCATCAAGTCTCCATAGATCTACACAGAATTGTGTTACCAATGTGACGTTACCACTAAACAAGTACAGTAATAAAAGAGTAAGCCAAATTATTTATTTTAATGTAACATATTCAACATTCATGACAACCAGCTATAAAACTGGAACCATTTACAGTGGTGGAACCCATAGATAATTACTCATTTATCCCACAAACAAGTTGATGTTCATTATCAAAACCAAACAAGTTCAAATAACATTTCTTATTTTGCTTGGGGAAAAAAAAATATGGCTACCAGCCCCAAGGGGAAAACCCAAACCAAAACAAACCAAAATACCCATCGCATTATAACTTACCACACTTCTTCATTTTAAAACACTATTAGTTGCAGACACATGAGTACCACTAATTTTCCACTTGAAATAATCCAATCTTTAAAGAAACTGCCCTTTGTTTTCCCCAAACTTTGTTCCTTAAGTTCTACTCAAAGTTATTACTGTCAGAGGTATGTAAGCAATTTGTAGTAGCAGTTTTCTTTAGTTAAAAGTGCCTCTTCTTAAAATATCAAATATAAATTTTGAAATTTTAAGTGGATAGCTCTCAAATAATATTTAAAAAGTCAACTATTTACACAAAGTTAATTCATAAGGTTTCCATTTTCACAATAGATAAATATTATCAATGATAAAACTGGTAACTGGTAAAGCATGCCCAAGGGTAATAATTACATTTACTAGGCACAAAAGTGGAACTTTGAAGAAATAATGATAAACCAGCTATGTTCTCCAAAAGTCTACAGGGATTCTGTGCTGTTATCAGTAAATAACATAATAAAGATAATAATTAATATTCAACTAAAAGATGGGCAGTCATATCGGTGCTTTTGTCTTCCAGAAAATCATACACATAAAAAACTCTTTCCATTCAGAGGGGTCAACCACAGCAACTTCAACCATATTATACATGGACTTGGTGGCCAAGTTTAAACTAAATCTTAAGCAAGGGATTCATTTATGCAAACCACACTTAGGCTTCTCCTACATGTGTTCTTAATTACACAATTCAAGTTTTCTGATATATAAATGGAATCCAATGATTTGGGACCACAATGACTTGTATCTAATATAAACTATAGTGAAAAGAAGGGCTTAAGAAAAAAAGATTAGTAAACTATGCAAACTGCATTAAATCAATAAGTTACTTTTAGACTGAATAAAGGAGGAGAGAAAAAGGAAAATGATGGAATTTTAGAGAAAATAAAGGCAGCATTTTAGAAGTCAGCAAAGGAATTCTTCAATTTGAAGGTAATTAAGAGAAAGTTGAAAAAGGTTAGTCCATTTAGTGTGTACTTATTCCTTTAACATCTAAACAACTTCCCTATGTTGGTATTCTAAAAGTTAAATGAACCTACATATTAACTAATTTAACTTACCAAAGTTACTTTTCATGTATGAAGTTGATTTTTTGGTTACAACACAATTTTATGGAAATCCTTCCCAATATGGTATTTAAATGTCTTCATTAATACCTGACTTTTCTAAGTGGCTTATTTATACATGTAGAGGAGAATTAAGACAATTCTTACACTATAAAATTAGGTGGTCAGAAAATTCACTTTACTTTGCTAAGAGTTATCAAAACTGAGCATGTAATAATGTCTTGGTAGCATAAGATGATTATCCCAACATCTATAGTCTTAACCACTTAAAAAACAAAAAATACATACAATTACATTTTCTGAACTGCCACACAAGAGTTAAAACTGCAGTTCAATCAACAAATGAAACCAAACCAACCACAAAACAAACAAGAAAAAAATGAACAGCCTCCACATACCCACACACTCCATTAGAGATACCAAGTTAAGTACTGGAGCCCAATTTTCATTCAACAACTTCAGCACACATAATACTGCCTTACATCTGAACCCTGGAATTATTCAGGTTAGGTTTCCCCCTCTCAAACACTCAACAACAAAAAGGCCAAAGACATTCTTGCCATATTTTTATTCACTCACTATCTGTAGTGACCTGGCAAAACTGATCTACACTAGTCAATTCTGGACTTCACAGATTGTGTTTTTACTTGAGAGATGGACTAAGTAACTTACTAAAGGCCCACTTACAAGACTGTTCCTCTGAAGATTTTTTTAAAAACATATAATGGAGATTTGCATCAATCTTTGATAAATTGTCTCCTATAAAACTGTGGAAGGCTACAAATATTTTCCCTTACCCGTTCCCTTGAGTACTGGAGCAGCCTGGAGAATGGCTCAGGGACGTGCTGCCAGCACACGGACTTTTCTTAGTGGACAGATCAAGTACACCGTCTGTAGAGACACAAACAAACACCTGAGGATATTAAAAACTAGGAACAAATGTGGACTGAATAGACCAAAAGTGGCAAAGCAATAGGCCTAGTCAACCATGCAGATACACTAGCCATATATGTGAGTTAAGTCAATTCGTTAATAGAATCAGGATTATTTTCCCTCCTAAAGTGACATACATTTAGCAAAGCTTGTTATATCTAGTATCTCCAAGGGTTAAATATTTTATCAGTAGGGCAAAAGAAAAGGTACAGCATATCACTGAAGATGTTAGGATATAGTGAGATATTAGAAATCGCAATTTACACAGAATGAAGTTCTGTAATAGAACTATTAGACTACATTTTCTAAATTTACCTTTATCAAAGCACGTGAGTTTTTAATGCCACATCATACAAATTATAAAACCAAATTCCTCAAGAGCTAAGTCTACCTGAAACACTATAAGTACATAAAAGTTGGATTTAGAAAATTTTATATAACACAAATCATTTTAAAATGTAAGTTTATATGGTTAAATTACAATATGTATATACAAAATATTCTGTAAAATGAATCAGATGTTAACTGTTTATAATTTTCATGTGTCCTAATTACTCTTCAGACACATCTGCAAAAAAATGTGTATTTGGATTCAATCTTTTGGAAAAAATCTGCAGAGATTCAAAATTCCCTTCTTGGTATCTATAAAGGCAAGGTTTTTAAATTAATAAGATATTACAAACTAGTGAGCAAAGTTTAGGGAAAGAAAGAAGAATGAAATAGTCTTGATACTGATGACAGCCTAGATGTTTAGCCATTTTTTTTTTCTGTTAAAACATAGAATTAGAAGACCTTGTTTTCCCACAAAGACTTTGTTCCCTCATAGACATGTCTAAAAAGGAAAACTCCTCGTCTGGACAACTTTTAAAGCTGCCATTCTGTCCAAAATTAACAAAACAAGCTAATACTCCATGCTTCTGATTTTCAGTTGGTCAGCAGAGAGGACTTTCTATCTAATTATGTTAAAAACTGCCCCCATATAGAACTAACATACGACTAGTGTCTGAAGACACTATCACTCCTGATTTCATGCTGTTAGAAATAAATATGTGACTGAGTTTGTAAACCAAAAATCCTACCCTCATACAGAGTAAGTGTTGTCCTTTAGGGTCACTAATATTTCTAAAAATATAACTGTAATCTTATAGAACAAAGTGTCCTATTAGACATCTTAACCCAATTAGACATCTAATAAGCAAATACACTGCTTAAAATATTTCCAAAGACACTATTATTTAAAGACTTCCAAATCTGTCTAATCAAACAGGCAATATATTTTAAGTCTACTTAAATATACTAAATATACTGTGATTTCATTGCAAACACATGAGAAGTAATTTGGGAAATATTTTAAAAATTTTGTTTCACTTAAAGACTATACACTCTAATCCCGTCATCTAGCTTAAATTTCTGTTGACAAGAGCATACCGTCAGTACAACATATCTCTTAAGCATAGCACCAACTAGGAGTTAAATTAGACTAAGTAGCACCTTTATACGTTAATCTCCACTATTAATACTTTAAATACAATCTCTATGCTGTCGTTCTCCTATTGTAAACCTGAAGTTTTTAATGCAATATTTTGAGCAAGGAGTTTTTTAATGAAAGCTACCAATCTTTGGTAAAGATAAACCTCAACAAAAAGAAAAAGCACAGAAAAGCACAATTTTGCTTTTGGTAACCGAAAGTAAAAGTACACTGATCGATGTGAACATATGACAATGAGGGGTTCTACTAGGAAATCTCAGAATTCTGAGATTGTGATTGCTATTCATTACCCAGAAACAGGAAAAAAGCAAGAACTACTATTCAAAAATACATTTTTTAATAAACAACTAAAGCCAGTCCATTAAGTATAAATCCCTCTTAAATCACTTAAAATAAGCAAAAGAAAGTCCTTTCAAAGAGGTTCTTCATACAAATTAAACTTTTTGCAAAATGAACCTGTATTTCTCACCAATAAATCTACACATCTCATAACTTTCTGCACACTCTTATAAGATTTCTATGACAAGGAATCTCATTAGAATAGACATCACCAATTTACAATCTGTAATGGGTCAAGCAATGGCAGAATTGAAATGCTCACTTCATCTTTGTGAAATTAAAGGTAAAATGAGATCACAAAGCAACAAAAATATTTAATCTATTTAAGACAGTAAACTTTTCATAAATTCAAGAAATATGTGCTAAGCAAAACTGATAACCTCTTAAATCAAATTTTCCCTTAATTAGGATCCTCATCCAAAAATTAAAATTACCTTTTGGAAATATTCTAAGATTAGTTCATATTATAGCATATACACATGGATGTGTTTGTGTATTTATAAAATACTGAATACACTGAACCACCTGGTGTGTCTAATGTCTTCCTCATTATATCTAACCCCAGGAGTTTCTTTTTTAAAAATACAAACAATATACATTCTTGCCTTATAATTTCATTTGCAGCGTAAAACTTCTACCTAATAAGACATATTTATTTCTCAGATAGGTGCTAATTCTAGAACACCGGTGGATAGGGGGAAAACTTAATTTTTCATAGGGGTTTTAAAAACAATGGCTATGGCAAAGTTTTGGAAAGTATAAAATATTTACATAAATATCAAGTAAATTAAAGATCAGTAACAACTGTATCCACCTAACTTTCCTGGGTGGTACATTAATCGTGACTATGAACTACTGATACGTAAGGTAGCCATTTTATCTGTATTTCTTCTCTATCACTGCAGAGTCAGGAATAATTTAAGAATCACATTAGTTTTTATCCTATTATTGTTACTGATGCCCTACTTGCCAATAATTTCTTTTCTCCCCAAATTAAAGTATTCTGATTGGACAGAGGAGACCTTGACATCAAACCATACCTTGTTCGCTAGGTTCTGACTGAGACTTTCTGACAGTAAGGTCCAGAGGTGAGTCTTGGTCAGCCATGAGAAGTTTGCTGAGCACAGGGTTCTGAGTAGTTGCAGCCGTGGGAGAGGTGGTGACTGGAGATGCTTTCGGCAGGCTTTGGTTCTTTGTGCTATTGGGCTGGCTGGGGTCCTGAGTAGAGCTATTTTTTGAGGTATATTCAGCAGCAAATTGTTGGATCATTCGCTGCATGATCTCACGGGCCACTAGGGGAATATTGGGGTCGGAGACCCAGGGACTGTCTGTAAACAAAGATTTATTTACTTTTAAATTGGGACAATGTACTAAAAAAAAAAAAAAAAAGACAGCTTTCAAGCAAACATAAAATTTCATTTTATCTTTTTTCTTATAATGCAGTATCTTAAAAGTAGTATTCCCTCTCAGAATTCTATTTTTAATCTCTAAAAACTTGAGTTCCAGATTTTTAAAAATAAAATTTTCATAAAATCATTTCTAAACACCATCCCCTCAATATTATGAAATTAAATAAAGGGATAACAAATAGTATATCTTATGGGTAAGAATCACTTACCTGATACAGAAATCTCAAACCCTTCTTTTATGAAATAATTACCCCCCTGTTTACCACCTAGAGATCATTTCTGGTTTCTCCTAGACCTTTCCTCCTCAGCTACCTCTTCCTAAATTATTGAAGAATGGATTACTTAGTTCATGAGTGCTTAATTTACTTTCTGTTAAAGACTGAAGGCATATCAAAATTATAAAAGGAGATATTTAATATAAGATCCATGATAGACTGGGGCAATAACCTCCCATTTTCAGGCTCATCAGAATCACTTTGAGTGCTTATAAAAACAGAGTCACTCATTCAGCAATTCTAGGGTGAGCTCAAGGACTGGCATTTCTAGTAAGTTTTTAGATGAAGCTGGTTGAGGGACCCCAATTTTAGAACCCCTAGGCCAGGAGTTTAAATGCCAAATCTCAAAAGCTTAAGCCCACATATTTTCCATGAGTTCTTTAAATACACTCTACCAATCATTAAACATAATAGCTACGGAAGTAATGAAATAAACACCTAAGTTATCAATTTCTAATCAATTCAATTTTTAATTTTAAAACATATAAATTCATTAACTCAAAGAACGTTTAGCACTGGAAGGGAAAATAAAAGGGAAATGTTCCGTATAAATATATCATCACACCTCCACCGTTACCACACTCTCAGGGAGGCTAAGCTTCTCAAGAGCAGAGATTATGTTTGTTTACCTCTGTATACTCAGCACCTAATCTTGCCTGGCATAAAGGATGCATTCATATTAGTTGAGTAATAAATGGATCAGTTAAATCAATCGATACTCATCAAGTTTTGTTTTTCTTTAGACAAATGAGATTAATGTGTCTAAAGAATAAGTGGCCTCTTCAAATTTGTATAGATGGTTAGTGGTAGAACCCTGATTAAAACTCTCCCCGTGGAGCACCTGGGTGGCTCAGTCGTTAAGCGTCTGCCTTCGGCTCAGGTCATGATCCATGGGTGCTGGGATCGAGCCCCGCATCGGGCTCCCTGCTCTGCGGGAAGCCTGCTTCTCCCTCTCCCACTCCCCCTGCTTGTGTTCCCTCTCTCACTGTGTTTCTGTCAAATAAATAAATAAAATCTTTAAAAAATAAAAAAATAAAAATAAATAAATAAATAAAACTCTCCCCGTGCCCTTAATATTCCTTCCACTTGGGACCTTTACTTCACCACACTTCAGAGATTTTAGAAGACAGTTCTCAGAAAACCTGAGTTTCCTTGGTCTTTTAAAGATTTAGCTATAGAAGGTAAATTACCCATAATACAGTTGGAGCTGGAAGGGAATTAGGTTGATTTATAAATTTAGATTATTACTATTAAAATCTAAAATCTCCACAGTAAACACACATACACATATCATCAAAACCTCATGGGACTCCTAAGAACAATTTTGTTTTTCCTGAAAGATAACATTCAATACCAGAAGATAATCTAAAGTCAGAATATTCAATTCTCTGAAGTCTAATAAGGTTTGCTTTAACAGTAACATTTCTGTTCTACTAACAAGTATTTCTAACCTGACATTTCTTCTCTATAGAGTATGCTAGATAGTTTAAGAATTAAGGTGTTCAATTAGGTAAGGTTCAGAAATTATTGCAACCACTGACAAGTTCCTTAAATGTTAATAAACATTTTAGCCACACACTGCTTTTTTGAAATCTCTCTATCCACTGAATATTCTTATTAATATTCATTTAGCTTTCCACTTAAGATCCATCCTCCAAATGAAAGACTGCATATAATTTCAAGTTTTAATATATTAGTGTATCTTCTTATCCCCAGCAACTCATAAAGAAGAACGTTTCCAAATAGGAAGCAAAATGAATTTATGAGATGTCTGTGTTTAATTAGATTCATAAATATAATTAAAGAGATTTGTGAAGAGTCAGAGATTTTAGGATAAAGACCATAAATTGCTACCTCTGAGCTTTAAATGCCTGCAGTCTGTCTTGCCTCTTTTTTGAATGAAGAACATAATCATAAAACACAATTCATATTCACAAATTGATGACATCTCTACCATTTGAATTTCTACATCCTTTTAAGTTTCCTGAACACATTTCATTCTTTCACTTACTTAAAACACAACTTCTATAAACTAGATATGCCTTGGGGAACATGCACAACAGAGTCAAGTAAAAACAACTAATCAAATCAAAATTAAAACTACAGGAAAACAAGTAAATGCTACATCACCAGCCACCTGTGTGTTTTTAAAAATGCAAATCTGGGGCGTCTGGGTGGTTCAGTCAGTTGAGCATCCAACTCTTGGTTTCAGCTCAGATTGTGATCTCAGGGTCATGAGACTGAGCCCCAAGTCGGGTCCACGCTCAACATGGAGTCTGCTTGGGATTCTCTCCTTCTCCCTCTCCCTCCGCCTTTCCCCTCCACTCTTGTGCCTGTGTGCACGCATGCTCTCTCTCTCAAAATCTTAAATTTAAAAATAAATAATTTTTTTAAAAAAATCCAACTTTCAGGAAAGTATCAAATTTTCTAACAGAAGTGACAAAGCAAGCTGAAAGAATATGATAATGACAGTTGTAGAAGGTATACTGTTCGTAAGCTGCAATTTATTATAGAGTCCGTATCACAAAAGCTTACTTTAATTGCATCTATGTCCCTACCTAGCTTATAGTGCCTTTCATAATTATTTAAAACATAAAATTTTCGGGGTGCCCAGGTGGCTCAGTCAAGCATCTGACTCTTGATTTCAGCTTAAGTCATGATCTCACTGATCTTAAGCTGGGCATGAAGGCTGTTTAAGATTCTTTCTCTCCCGCTGCCCCGTCCCCCAAACAAAAAACATTCATTTGCAATACTCAGTAAGAAGTAAATCCAAATCTCTGAGCTATTTATTAAAAAAAAAAAAAATCCCCTTCAGACTAAATTGCCTGTCATATCTGTTCATGTTACACATTTTTGGTATAACCTGAACAGTACTAATGGTCATCGTTAAGACATTTTCATGAAGATTAATACAATATCTAAAAATAACAATATTAATGCATAAAACAAGGAGGAAGGAACTTTAATAACAAAGCAACAGTTCTTTTTTCTGAGCATCATATGCCAGTATACAAATACACAAATTTAACTTTACATACAATTTCAGAGTATTCTCATCTCTTGAAGTCTACCCTAACACTGATTTGGAGGTAAAAATTCCCTCATGTGCCCAAAAGTTTGTTTAAATAAGAAAACTTTTAAGAACTGTAAGTTATTCCTACATGATAAGGGGACAGGACTAGCAGACAAAGCGGCTAGAATTCTCTTTAGGAATATGCTTATGATTGACCTTATTAACTCCCTGTAACCAAAGAGTAGATGAAAAGTTCTTTCTCCATGTATATTAGGGAGAGACCCATGACTCAGTACACATTCTAAAGTAGAGAACAGCAGAGGAGCTGTAAAGATGTTTTATTTTGTTAATAAACTGACAGAACTGGGCACCTGGGTGGCTCAGTCGTTGGGTGTCTGCCTTTGGCTTGAGTCATGATCTCGGGGTCCTGGGATTGAGCCCTGCATCCCTGCTCGGCGGGAGGCCTGCTTCTCCCTCTCCCACTCCCCCAGCTTGTGTTCCCTCTCTTGCTGTCTCTCTGTCAAAAAAATAAAAATTTAAAAAAAAAACAAAAAAACTGACAGAACTGATCTGTCATTTACACTTTAAATGTGAATTACTTTAATAAAATAATCAATGTTTGTAAAACTAAGTCAATTACTATTTTGAACATAATTTTAGAATTCAGGATACTCTAAGGGGAAGATAAAGTGGGCATGGGAGCCTCAGTTGGGAGCTTTAGGTCAGAGGGTGCTAGAGAGATGAAAGAGAAGTGAGGATGTACTAAAAGATTTAATTTTGCATAGGGATCTGATGGAAGGAAAAAAAGTGCCTCTGAAAACAATAATCTTCTTCACTCCTTAATTTTATGTGACCCCTAACTTCATACTCCATTTTGAAAATACTGACCACATTAAGCAGAACATCAGTTGGTCTCCAACTGTAAACCAATTAGAATAGCACTTATCAGACTTTCAACCAGTGTATAGGTAAAAATCACCCTTCTAACTTTGGAGGGAAGTAGGAAATTCCCAGGAGCACGAGAGGTGTAAACTAGAACATATAAAAAAATATTAAAGAAAGCAGAATCACTGAGTCTGCTGAAGATTAAATAAGGAATATTCAGGATTATGAGAAGTTTGTAGGAAACTTTTTTAGAACTTCTCACAGTAATTTCCATCTTGGAACTAAAGGAAAGACATAACTAAGGAATACAAATCCATTTAGAAAGAATTTCTTGAAGGTAAAGATTTCACTAGAATGGATCACGGAGGGAAGCATCCTGAAGGTCTTGACTGATGGCAATTATGCTTTGTGAACAGAGAAAAGAAATGTGAAACATGTCTACAAAAGTTTCAAGAAGAAAGAAAAACTGAAATATCTAAGAGGTAGAGCTATTAAATACCACCTCCAACATACGGGGTATAAGTTTTACTATATAATAATGAATTTCTTTCTCCAATTTTAATAATCCAATGAAATTTGAGTGAAGACTATATCAAGGAAGAAATGCTTGCAAATCTAATTTTAAGATATAACTTAACCTCTTCTTTACAAATGAATTTCAGTGAGGAATTACTGAAATTTTATTTTAAAAGTTGGGTTTTATGGTTATCTGTGATTAAAACTGTAACTATGTAAGAATATTTGTCTGAGAAAACACTGTACTGCTGAAACCTTAGAATTTTCAGACATTCATAATACTTTCAGGAACTATTTAACGAATAAAATCTTACAAGACATAATCACTTCAGAATGAAAAGGAGGGAGAGGGGTTGCCTTACCCTATTCCAAATTTAACTTGACCAAAGGAATATAAAGTATATTATCAATAAAGATAAATATTTTTTAAAGTGACTTTTAAAAAATGACATTAAAATTAAGGAAATTAATATAAGACAAGCAGATGCTAAACGCCATTCTTCGCTAGAACCAACCTTTTCTATAAAAGACTGCATTGAGGAACTCTTCTGCTTGTCTCTCGAATCGAATGATTTTTGCTTGCTCTTGTTTAAGCAGAGCTTCTTGCCCAGCTCCCGAAGCTGGTTCATCCAGACCGACTAAGTGTCCCTGTAAAAATATTTGGTGAAATATTTGCACAAAGATCTTTCCCCATTCAGTATCAAAAGCACAGATGCAAAATCAAAGACAAATGTTAGTAACAGATAAGAGAAATCAGTTTAATACAATTAAAATATTTTAAAACTTCAAATCAGAATAAAAGTTATCTCCACAAAAAGCAAAGTGAATGTAAAAATACACTTCGGGTGGTTTTTATTTATCTTATGAATTATGTTTAAAATTTACAGATAAACTCTAATTAAGCTAATACTACTAAAGGAAAATTTTTCTTGAGCATTCAAATATAACGGTTCTTATTACACTATACAGCAACAGTTCACACACAATTCAACTCAGACAGAAAGATACCTTAAACCCTAAATATTATTTGAGAATCATGTTTGCTCTCTAAATTCAAAATGTTTTTTCCAGACACAAGACAAACATTTTTAAAAGGGCCATAAGAAGGGAAAACTCAGGATGTGAGGGCGATCTGGCTGCGACATCTGTCACCCCACTGATCGCCAGGGTTGATTCGGCTGATTTGGCGGGCTAGGCGGGTGTCCCCTTCCTCCCTCACCGCTCCATGTGCGTCCCTCCTGAAGCTGCGCACTCGGTCGAAGAGGACGACCTTCCCCGATAGAGGGGGACCGTTCTTCGGTCAAGGGTATACGAGTAGCTGCGCTCCCCTGCTAGAACCTCCAAACAAGCTCTCAAGAAGGGAAAACTCAAAGAGAAAGTTATCTAAATTTATAATTCTGTCCCTAGAATACTATTTCATAAACTATAGCTTTCAAATGTTTAGAGTTGTGAAATTAATAGGTTAAAACTGGCTCTGGAAAAAAGACTTTAAAAATAGAGTGCATCGCGTGTTCTAAAGGTAAACATTTCTATTTATGCTTAAAAATGTTTACAATATAAAAATTTAAGTCCTGTTCAGAAAGTTTCAAAATGCTGAACTGACTCGTCCCAAACATTCCCAGAATCTGTTCTCAGACTGCAGGAGCACTAGACTAGGTTGTTAATGCTTTGTACTTATTTCCACTCTTGTAGCTAATAAACAGGAAACTATGATAATAGAAAATAAAAGTGTAAAGAAAAGTAAAGTACATGTTTAACGTGTTAAGTTCCAGCGCATATAATTTACTTCAAATCACTGCAATGTATCGCCATATGCATTTACTTATGTCGTGGAAAACTTAAAAGTCCATTTCTAAATAAGAAAATGAGGACATGCCTTGACACAATGAAAAGGAAGTAATAAACAAGACACTGAAAGAATGTTATAATCCACAAACAATTTTCTTAAAGATTTCAAATACACCCAATGACATTTGCAACCGGCTTTTTATGATTCCATCATCCAAACTGTGTTGATAGCACAACCAAAAGAGTATTTTGCAAAGACACATTTAGCATCAATTATATATTACAAATAGTTTAATATGAAGAATTCTCTTGCGTAATCAAATTAAAATAATCATCCCATATAACTTCTATATTAGACATATTAAGTCTGCCACATAAAAGAAAATATTGTGTTATAAATCATTATGAAAACAAACCTTTACTATAGGTGTATTTGCCAACATTCTCTTTTGTAGCCTAAAGAAATTAAGTAACTTTTTAAAATGAATCACAAAATAATGTATTTTTGATACAGATTTAATATCTAAAAGGTATTAGGAATAGATACTAATTAAAGAGTCCAATAAAATCCTCAACTATCATTGTTTAGTGATTTTTAAAATGCGACATTACATGTATGAACTGTACTTAACTCCTTAGTCTTACATTCAGTCAGTTCAGTCAGACTTTGAGCAGAATGTCTGTATTTATTTTTCATGTTTAGAAAATCTTAGAGAAGATGTTAGTTGAAGGATGCATTGTACAGTGTAGTTTCAGTGAATGATTCTACATACACATTTACAAAACAGTGTATTTTTCCCCCAAGTTTTTATTTAAATTCCTGCTAGTTAATATACAGTATAATATCAGGTGTAGAATTTAGTGATTCAACACTTACATACAACACCCGGTGCTCATCACAAAAATACGGAACGCTTCACAAATTTGTGTGTCATCCTTGCACAGGGGCCATGCTAATCTTCTCTGTATCATTCCAATTTTAGTATATGTGCTGCCGAAGCGAGCACAGAACACCTATATTTCAACCATGTTTAATGTTGCATTCAGTCTACTGTCTTACTAAATCAACTCATAACAACTAACATAGCACTCAGTAAGGGAGGTGCTACCTGTTTTTTCTTGAATTAAACAATTTTAACCAATTTTATCAACCTGGACACTGAAACATACAGATAGCTTTCAGTTGGCTCATATTAATTACAGTCACACCTATTTGTTTTGTTTTTGAATAGTTTTACTAAGACATAACAGACATACCACATACCACACAAGTCACCCATCTGAAATGTAAAATTCAATGTTTTCTTTTTGGTAGGTTCACAGAGGTGTGGGACCATCACCATGATAAACTTTAGAACATTTCTGTACTCCAGAAGTAAACCCTGTACCCATTAACAGCTATTCCCCATTCTCCTATTTGCCCCAACCCTAGGCAACCACTGTTACTACTTTTTGTTTCTATGGACTTGCTTATTCTGGATATTTCGTATAAATGGAATTGTGCAATATTTGTGTGTGTGTGTGTGTGTGTGTGTGTGTGAGAGAGAGAGAGAGAGAGAGAGACTGACTTCTTCCTCCTGAAATAATGTTTTCAAGGTTCACCATGTTGTAGCATGTACCAGTACTTCTTCCTTTTTAGTGCCAAACAATATTCCATTGTATGGATACAGCACATTTTATCCAATCATCAGTTATGACCATTTAGGTTTCCACTTTCTGGCTACTATGATACAAATAACGTTGCCTTTAATATTTGTGTGGATGTATATTTTCGTTTCTCCTGGATATATATTTAGGAGTGGAATTTCTGGATCATGTCTTAATTATGTTTACCATTCTGAGGAAGTACTAAACCATCTTCCAAAGCAGGTGCACCATTTCATATTCTCAACAGCAATGAGAATATGACTCATAACTTCTCCACATACTCATGAACACTTGTTATCTTTTGATTACATCCATTCTAGTACACAAGAAGTGGTGCCTCATGGTTCAGATTTATATTTCCCTAATGACTACTGATGTTGAACATCTAATTGGTCATTTAAATACCTTCTTTGGAGAAATGTCTATTCATATGTTTGCCTGGTGTTTAATTGGGCTATCTACCTTTTTAATGTTGAGTTGTAAGAATTTTTGATATATTCTGGATGTAAGTCCATTATCAGATGTAAGATTTGCAAATATTTTCTACCGTCAGTGAGCTTATCACTTCATTTATGCTACTACTGTTAGCAGTAAAAAGGTTTTAAATTAAAAAAAAAAAAGATTTTATTTATTTATTTATTTATTTATTTGACACAGAGAGAGCGAGCACAAGCAGGGGGAGCAGCAGGCAGAGGGACAAGCAGGCTCCCCCCGACGCAGGACTTGATCCCAGGACCCCGGGATCATGACCTGAGCTGAAGGCAGATGCTTAACTAAGCCACCCAGGCACCCCCAAAAGTTTTTAATTTTAATGAATTTCAATTTATCTAATGTTTTGGTCGTTTGTGCTTTTGGTATTATATCTAAAAAACTAGTGGCTAACCCAAGGTCATGAAGATCTACTCCTATGTTTTCTTCTAAATGTATAGTTTTAGAACTTCCTTTTAGGTATATGTTCCATTTCAAGTAAACTTTTGTGTATGGTATAAGAAGGGGTCCAACTTCCTTTGTCAAGAATCACTAGCCAGGGGAGCCTGGGTGGCTCAGTTGGTTAAGCATCTGCCTTTGGCTCATGTCATGATCCCAGGGTCCTGGGATCAAGTCCCACATCAGCCTCCCTGCTCAGCAGGTAGTCAGCTTCTCCCTCTCTCTCTGCCTCTCCTCCCAGCTTGTGCTCTCTCTCACTCAACTCACTCCTTCTCTAATAAAGAAATAAAAAATCTTTGAAAAAAAAAAATGAATCACTAGCCATAAATTTACTTCTGAACACCCAATTCTATTCCACTGATCTACATTTCCCATCTGTAAGCCAGTAACACAGTATGTTGATCACAGTAGTTTTGTAGTTAAGTTCTGAAATTGGGAAGTGTTAAGTCCTCTCTTCTTTTATAAGATTGTTTTGGCTATTCATGCATCTCTTGAATTTTCATACGAATTTTAAGATCAGATTCTCAATTTCTGCAAAGAAGGTAGTAGAGGTCTTGACAGAGAATGCACTGAATCTGCAGGCCATTCTGGGAAGCAATGCCATTTTTATAACATTAAGTATTCCAATTCATGAACATGAGATACCTGTTTATTTAGATCTTTAATTTATTTCAACAATTTTTTTAAATTTACAGTGTACAAGTCTTAAACATCTTAAAATTATTCCTAAGTATTTTATTCTTTTGGATGCTACTGTAAATGGAACTGTTTTCTTAATTTTCATGTTCAGATTGTTCATTGTTATTTGTCTAGAAATACCACCATTTTTTTTTTATTTTTTAAAAGATTTTATTTATTATTTATTCATGAGAGAGAAAGAGAGAGGCAGAGGGAGAAGCAGGCTCCCTGCTGAGCAAGAAGCCCGATGTGGGACTCGATCCCAGGACCCTAGGATTGTGACCTGAGCTGAGGGTAGACGCTTAACCGACTGAGCCACTCAGGCGCCCCCATTTTTTTTCAAAATGCTGTATTCTACAACCTTGCTGAACTTATTAACTCTAACAGTGTTCTGTTAGATTCTTTAGGATTTTCCATATACAACATCATGTCATCTACAAAGACACTTTTTGTAATCTGGGTAACTTTGGTTTCTTTTTTTACTAATTGCCAAGGCTAGTGCCTCAGGTATAATACAATACACAGAAATGAGAGTGGACAACCTTGTCTTGTCCCTAATTTTAGGGGGAAAAATGTTCAACTTTCCACCACAGCTATGTACTTTCGTG